GATTATTCTGAAGAAAACTTGCAAGTTTCTTCTATTGTACTAATTTATATTTCTGATCATGGATTTGGTTGACACTTCTGTTACAGTGATATTAAAATATTTCTCCTAATTAATTTCCTTTCAATGTGTATGAATCCATGCACAGGACCACTAGTTTATAATAAAACAATATGCATTTCAATATGTAAATAATCAAGCAAGATTATATCAGGGAACATAATGAAGTAGTCACATACCTGCACTTGTATGTACATTGAATGAGACAGGTGTGTTAAACTGTAGTGTCAAATGCAAGCGGTATCATTTTGGGTAAGTTTGGGTAAGTAGTGTTCTGAACAAAATTAAGCATAATCTTTCCTCAATTTACACAGCAATTTTAATCCTGGTAATTTCAGTGTATGTAAAACCAACTTATGTTCTAAGCTCAGAAAATTATAGAAGGTTTTTACTTACCTCTTCAGCAAAACACTCGAAAGCTGCACAAACATTAGATAAATTGTCATGTGACAGAATTATCTGGAACAGTCCAGTACATCGAGTATTTCTGGAGTCTTCCCAGGGAATGCATATTTCCAGTTTCCCTCAGGAAGTAGTACCATTCCCATTTGAGAACCACCAGACTTGCCCATGCTGTAAAACCAGCTTTATCACAAACTAGCTGTGAAACCAAAAGAAAATCACACAGCCATTTTACAGATCACCCCAGCCAAAACATCACTTCCTCAACTCACACAGTCACAAGGAGCAATAACAAAAATAACCTGGAAAGAATCTGAATTCTCTAAAAGTTTCAAAGTAGATGTGATGGTTAAAAACACACACAATGTTTTTGAACTTCCTTATACTTATTTTATTTTGAATTACAGACGTGGGTATGAACACCAGAATCTTTTTAATATTTAGGGCCTAAAAGTCTGGATCTGACCATATTCAAACTTTCAAACAGTCTCTGTAATAAAGTTCAATAAAAAAAATCAAATTATTTCAGGAACCCCTAGCATAGACCAATGCTCTAATCCTAGTTTTACCACATGAAAATATGCTATCCATAATTTTATTTGCTTACAAAATGTCATTTGTTATTTTAAGATAAAATATAGAAAAACAACAGAAAAACTGAAAGAACTATTTGTCCTGAAGTCTTGTAGAAAAAAAAAATCTCCACCCAAATTTTCAAATTCTCCACTCTTATCTTTTCATATCTGTTTCTAAAACCTTGTTGTATAAAATACTCAGAAAACTTACTAAATAAAATGAAAATTTGGAGCTGGACTTAAGATGTCTTTGCAAATAAACACAATTTAGAAAATTAGTCAAAAGCTATCATTCTCCAAGGTTCATATTTCTCTTTTATAATAAGTAAATGAATTCTAATAATAAATGATGTTGAAAATTTTATTAAAAGTTCTGCAAGCCGACATGCTACTTATTCTCAAGCCTTGTCTACCATGTGAATGAATGGTTTGGGAGATAAAATGACCTCTGCTACTTACTAGCTGTACCGCTGTACAAAATTCTCAATCCATTTTTTTTACATATAAAATACCCCCTACCTACCAATGTTCTGACAATATGTAAAGCTCTTTGCAGAAAGCTTTTCATGTACTAGTTGTCAGTTAAATAGGAGCTATGGTTATTATTATAACTAGCTGTACTGTTTACCAATACCCACTTAGTAACTCATTCAACTATTTTCTTCTTAGTTGTCTTATACAATTTTTTTTTTTCTGGCTTAAAAAGCATTTTGAGGTATGCTAGGTAAATGTTACACAACGTCTCTTATATAAGACAGCCTCAGCCCAGCTAGTGTGGCTCAGTAGTTGAGCATTAACCTATGAACCAGGAGGTCATGGTTCAGTTACCAGTTCGGGCACATGCCCAAGGTTGCAGGCTCAATCCCCAATAGAGGATATGTAAGAGGCAGCTGATCAATGATTTTCTCCCATTACTGATGTTTTTATCCCTCTCTCTTTCTACCTTCCTCTCTGAAATCAATAAAAATGTATGTTAAAAATGAAAATTCTTCTTTAAAAAAAAAAAAGACAACCTCACCAAACTGTCTTAAGACAACATATACCAAAAATAGGACAAAGAATGATATTTATTAAACTACACTTTAACATTTACTGAACATAAGTCATGTGATGGTAGCTTATAAAAATTCAGTTCTCCTACCAACATCCTGAGTATTTTTTTGCCTCTGTAAACCCTTTAAATGTTACCTCTCTTCCTTTTTTGGTCTTTACAAGGAGATTTGACTTCTGAAAATTTCACATTTTAATAATTTTTAATAATTAGAGTCAGCACAAAGACTCTAATTTTTAGTATATTTATGTTTTATATTCAGATCTCCAACTGATTCTTTGCAAACCTACAGGGTTCTCATGGTATGTTTAGCAGGATCACACCCTCTCTTCAACATGCACACACACTACATCACATCACATTCTCATCTGGTCTCTGCCAACACTTGAAATGTGGGACTTAACCCTTCCAGCATGAAAGGTTTAGCTAAGAAGAGGTTTGGAAAAAATATAAGAGTTTATAACTTGTTTGAAGGCTTATGCACCCTTTGAAAATCTGAAGAAAACTATAAATATCTCATATGTAAGCAATAAAGGATATGCATATACAATTGCATTTCACAGGCTCCTTGCAAACCAAATTAAAAAACCTATGGTTTATTTCAGTGTTTCTCCTTTTGACTCAGTGAGGACTCACAGTGGGAAATAGAACCTGATACCAATAGAGCCCATACTTACATAGCAAAACAAATGTAAATATCTAAAACAGAAGTTTCCAGAAATAATATTTACCCTTACCATGTGCAATGGTTTCTACCATTTTCTATCCAATTTCATCTTTCTAAATGTTGCTTCAGGCTCACTGCATGGCTTTCTTACTGCCCACAATCTGAAGAACAGTGATCTGGTCTAACATTTCCTCGTTTTTTGAAATAAGGAAACTGAGATCCAAAAAAACAAAGTCCTAGGTCATGAATGAGTTTGTGGCCGAACAAGCCAGAAACCTAACTATTCTGACTCACAACCAAACAAAGTGAAACAAAAGTTCTAACTACCACCTCACTTCAAAAAAGCAGCTGGGATGGGAAACTGAAAACATGCTATTAACTGGGAGCACTGCACTTCCAAACCATGGTGAATATTAACCACAGCCGCAGCCTCCCATTCAGACAGCCTTCCTTTTTTTTTTTCCCCGAAACCATGCCACTGGCCTAGCATGACATGGCACATAAACAATTTTTCTCTTTCTAGTAACCCTTTCTCCAGCCACTGAAAACAACACAGGAAAAGCCGATGTTTTTCTTGAGTTCACTTAAAATACTTCTCTGACAGACACACAGGTTTTGTCTGTCTGTCAGAGGCAGGCTTAGAAACAGGGGTGGGCAGGCCCTCTTTCCACTTACCAGGCCCATGCATAGCTGTTTTCTTCTCTGCTGGGGCTGCTTCATTAAAATTTTAACATCCCAACCACATGGATCAATAGTGCATATGAATGACCCAGAGACTACTAGAGGTTACTACTACCAACAGCTACCCCAGCCCGCCCTTAAGCCTCCAATTGCTGACAGTGGGATGGCTGAGAGCCTGCATTACAAACAGCTTGGTGGCTTAAAATGCCATCTCTCCGCTGACATCAGGCTGTGCATGGTTTTTATTTGTTTTTCTTATTTTTAATTTGGAATCTTATAACTAGCCATCGACAGAGACTGGGGACTGGTCAGGAGGCCGAGGCCCTGCGCACAGGAAGGAGGCGCTGCAGGGATCACCCCAATAATTCCACTTGGCCGCCTGCAGCCGCGGGCCAGCCTCTACCTGCAGCCCCAGCCTGGTTGGTCCCCAAGGGCAGAGCGCCCGGGCTCCCAATGCAGCAGGCACAGTCCGGTGCAAATGGATGCGCAGCAGCTCCGGGGAGAGAATCACCGAAAGTGTGCGAGGAGAGGGAGTGTTGCGGGGGGAGAAAAAGGGGAGAAGCAGGCAAACCCTAAAATTAGCGCTCAGGAAGCAGCGGCAGGGCACAGGCTCGCAGAGATGGCGTCCTCTGCCCAGCGGCCACCCCGGAGCTGCCCGGGGGCCCGCGGCCGCTGCGCTGCCTCCGCCCCCGCCCCCGGAGCTGGACCAACGCAGCAGAAGACAGGGGGGGGGGGGGGGGTCCTGTCCTGGAAACAGGATCAGGGAGCACAGGGAGCCTCCTGAGCCCTTGGGGTCTATCGCTCCTCCCCCAACTGCGGCAGAAATGTTAAGCAGCCTCAGAATTTAAAGCCGTTTTCTCTCCTCTATCAAACCTCCCTGGGAATTAGAGTGACAGGGGGTGAGGGGGGATGTTAAGGGACCGAGGATCTAGGGGGTGGGCGCTGGCGGAATGGAGGCGGGGGGTGTTTGCATCCGAATTTCTCTCTGCAAGGTAAACAGTTCTGAAGGTCAGGGAAAGCGCCCCATCAGGCGCTCCAGAAAAGATGAATGTTCAGTCAGGGATCCTCAGCCATCGCTTTTCTTGAAAACCCAAACGACCTAAGTCCAAAGTATATCAGATATTCCAACTCCGATAATGCACTGAAAAACCTGCCGTTAACTACTGTGAACACTCCCAGTATAAAATTACCCAAACTCCCATAGCTGGCATTAGGAAATCTGCGAAATGGAAATGTGTTCCTGGGCTAAGGTGAAATGAAGAATGCAAAAATACGTGTGTGTTTTTTGTCACACACACACACATACACACACACACACACACACACACACACAAAATGGAAAATGGAATGACACACTATTTGGAAACCAAAAGCCACTCGTTTTAATGTTTGTATATTTCTTTTGAAGTCAGTCTTTTCAAAAAAGTCGTGTTTATTATGTAACTAAGGCTGTTAAAATGACATATGCACCGTAATGATAAACCAGCCATTAATACACATTAAGGTCTGTGGAGGGCAGTCGCATCTCTAGCATCTTTTTGACTCCCCTCTGCCGTTGGGCCCTTACCTTTATTTTCAGAATCCTTCATCCTCTCCTTCCTCCCTCTGCTGCAAATGGGCAGGAAAGTCCGGCCGATCCTCCAACCCTGACTTTCGATTTGTCATTCACAGACAGTCAGCGGTTTGGGGGGCGAAGTCCCTCAACCCGGGAGCACGGGGCTCGGGTAACTGCATGCAAGTCAGTGTGCGGGGTTATAATTTTGCTTATGCTGGAGCGAAAGGATAGAGGTGAAGGCAGACGTAAACACAACTTCCAAAACATGGCATGGAATTGGATCTGGAGCCTGGGCATGCCTTCCTTCCCTGAGGTTAAGAAACCAGCTAGCTGTTCAGCACCTCCTTGTCTCTAGAGAGATGCGGTTCAAGTTCAAGGGGGAATGTCTGTGCCATGCACTGGGCTTGTTTTCAAATAGAGACCTTAATTCTGGAGGGGAATGAAGACCCTCATACCTTGTTTCCTCTTACATAATCATGCATTCATAAAACATTTCTTTTACCTTTCTGTGGACCAGGCTCTGTCCTCCAGCTGCTCTCAGATGTTACAATAGAAGCATATAGTACAATGCAATGACCTCTGAATGCTGTGTGGACACGGGTTCCTGAACCCACTTCACCCTGAGGTAAGTTGATACTCTAGGAGGCTTTATGATTGGTTTTAAGCCACTGAGTCACTGAGCCAGAAATGAGTATGAGGAAACCAGAGCCTGCATCCCAGACCTCTGTTGGAGGGCAAGGAAGTTTTAAGTGAATCTTTCAATCATCCAATTCAAGCTTACTTTCAATCATTACATAGCTAAGATTCCCTTCCTTCATTCCTTCCTTCCTTCTTTCCCTCCCTTTTCCCCTCTCTTACTTCCTACCAAATGGTATTTGCGCCAGGCACTAGTCTACCCAGGAATACAAAAAACAGACCAACTCCTTGCTCTAAGGGCTACTATTACATTCTGGTGGGAGGATTCAAACAGACAATAAACAAGCCAATTTAAACATATAATGAATGTCAATGAATAATATGGAGAAAAAATGAAGCATGATTATGAAAGAGCAGAAGTGCCATTTTTTATAAAGTAAACCAGGGACGTTGATATTTAACTTATTTTATGAAAAATTGGTTAAGATCATTATGGTCCCTTCCAAACATCTTCCCTCTGAGATTGTTTTTTTTTTAAGTTTAGAATCCTCATAAACTCCTCTGCTCCCAGTGCATTCACTGGTGGGTGCTGTCTATTCCCCATTATACAGATTGGTAAACTGATATCCAAAAAGATTAACTGACCCAATTGAGGGCCTCACTAAGTTGGATGATGGGCAATAAAAAGAAATATAGCCCTTACTGATTTGGCTCAGTGGATAGAGCGTCAACCTGTGGACTGAAGGGTCCCAGGTTCGATTCTAGTTGAGGGCACGTGCCCCGGTTGTAGGCTCCACCCCCAGTATGAGGTCTGCAGCCGCTAATCAATGATTCTCATTGCTGTATCTCTCTCTCTCTCTCTCTCCCTCTCCCTCTCCCTCTCCCTCTCCCTCTCTGTCTCCCTCTCCCTCTCCCTCTCCCTCTCCCTCTCCCTCTCCCTCTCCCTCTCCCTCTCCCTCTCCCTCTCCCTCTCCTCTTCCTCTCTGAAATCAATAAAAAAAATAAAAATATTTAAATATATATATTTATATATTATAAATATATATATATAGACACACACACACACACACACATACCTATTGCTCTCAGCCCCCCGAAATTGCTGGGTTAAATACAATACTGAGGTGGAAATTTTGCTGGAGTAGGAGTTAAGGCAAGAGCACTGAAGGCCTATCTCTACCACTATTAACTGAGTGGTGGAGGACAGGTGGCTTAGCTCTCTGGCACTAGTTTCCTCATCTGCAATGGGGGGCTAATCAGGCCTGCCTCTGAAGGTACCGGGCTGTCCAGAAGATCAAAAGGGAAAACAGATGTTGATACTTTGTAACTCAGCACTATAGAAACACAATGTACAATTACCAACATGCTTGGGCACACTTATAAGAACTAATTGCTAGTGTTCACTAGTTCGTTACTATATTAAATACAGCTAGAGAATGAAAACTATCATGGGCACTAGGGTTTTTAGAGTTGGTTTCCAGCTGCCACAATTTAAGGACTCGCAGAAATTTGGGGGAAATTGTAAGTATTTAATTTTTGCTCCCCTCTCTACTTGGCAGTGAGTAATACTTTTCTGCACCTCTGACAGCATAAGACCAATGAAGAAAATCTACCCTCATTAAAATTCCTTGCCGCTACCAAATGAGCCATGTTGGCCCATATCACGTCAAAGGAACAGGCATCTCTATCTCCAAGGACCACGTCTGGCACAGCCTCAACATGCCTAGCAGGACCACCCCACCCTTAGAGGCTGAGGGGGTTAGGGAAGAAGTAGGTGGTGAGAAGCCACCATTCATTCACCCTTTCACTCGATAAATATTCATTGTGCCAGGCACTGCTCTGAACACTGGGAACAACATAGTGCTGAACAAAACATTCTCTGTCCTCAAAGAGCTGTGGTCTCCAGGCAAGAGGGTTCCAGAAGGTATGCTGATTTACTGAACCAGGAAGAGGAATGCCAAGGCCTGGGCCTGCGGAGGGAGGCAGGGGCTCTAAAGCAGAAGAGACTTGATTCAAACATGGGTCCTGCCCCTTAGTGGCCCCTAGAGGAAGCTGAGACATGTTCTTGCACCTCTCTAAGTCTCTATTTCCAGATGAGGTAATAATGGTACCTGCCTCCTAGGCTTGAGTAAGGCTCAGACAAGTTAATGCAAGTAAAGTACGTAACACACAGCCTGACACATAAAGTAAAGGGCTCTATAGATGCTCTAACACTGACATTAGTACCTGGTGACCTGGAGCAAGTTTACCCCTCTGCACTTCAGTTTCCTCATAAAATGCAGAAAATAATAACTAGCCAGAGCTACTGTGAGAATTACAAATCAGGAATGATACAAACCCCTTGACATAAAGGAGTAGCTCACCCCCTGCCAGTCTCAGCCCAGCCTCAAGCAGGCTTCCCAGGGAAAAAGACCAAAGCTGGGGAGTCAGAAAGTGTGAGAAGGGTAGCTATTTATATTAAAGAGGAAGTAATTTTTTTTTTTTGAGAGTGTGGGGCATTTTACAGAACATTGCATTTTGAAAAGTTTCAAACATAAAAAGGTTGGAAGAGCCCAGTCGGAGTGGCTCCTATCCCGTGCACCGAAAGGCTGACGATTCAATTCCTGGTTCAGGGCACATTTCTGGGTTCCGAGTTTGATCCCCAGTCCGGGAGTGTAAGAAGGCAACTGACCAATGTTTCTGTTTCCCTCCCTCCCTCCCTCCATCCCTCCCTCCTTCCCTCTTTCCCTTTCTCCCTCCCTCCCTCCCTCTTCTTCCTATCTCTAAGCATGTCCTTGGATGAGGATTGAGAAGGTGGGGGGAAAGGTGGGGGGGAGTTGGGAGAATTGCACCATGAACTGCCTCTTCAAATACATTTTGCTGTATTTTCTTTATTGCATATCTGCCCATCTCTCTATCCATCCTTAATTGATAGTTTATTTTAAAAATTAACTTGAAAGAGGTTTGAAGACCTCGCCAAATAACAAGAACCTTTACTTTTCCTCCTGGCCCAATATTTACAGACCTCCTGATTCTGTGGCCATTGCAAGCCAGGTCAGGTACATTCTCTTAGCTATGTCGTGCCCCCACAGTAACCCTCAGGCCACATCCAGTTGAGGGACAAGGATGGACTCGAGCATTGGAGCTTTCCAGAGCAAGGCAATGTCTCTGGCAGACATCAGACTTCAAATAAACAGGCACCAAAGGCCATATGAACATGCATTCATGACAAACGGTGCTCCATCTCATCGACCGGGTTCATGGACAGCTCCAGGTGGGCTCCACCGGCCCCCACGTCCCCTCCCTGCTCTGCACAGTCCCCGTCTTGTTAGAAGCCACTTCTGAGTCACCGAGCTGGTGAGTCATGCCCAGCAGGGGAGGCCATCTTGAGAGCAAAACCAAAAGGAATTTTTAAGAACAATCGGTGGGGCCTGAATTGAAAGAGTACAAGCTTTTTATTGTCCCAGCCCCCAAAAAAATTTTTTTTGAAAGAAAAAAAACAAAACAAAAAATGCTGCTGTAATACTGTGAGTTAAACTTCCCAGTTGTAGATTTTAATTTGAAGAAAAACTGTGCAAAAAGGAAACAAAACAAAACAAAACAAAACAAAACAAAAAAAACAAACAAAAAAAAAAAAAGCTTTTACAGCCAAAACCGGTTTGGCTCAGTGGATAGAGCATCGGTCTGTGGACTAAAAGGTCCCAGGTTTGATTCCGGTCAAGGGCATGTACCTTGGTTGTGGGCACATCCCCGGTAGGGGGTGTGCAGGAGGCAGCTGGTTGATGTTTCTCTCTCATTGACTTTTCTAGCTCTCTATTTCTTTCCCTTCCTCTCTGTGAAAAATTAATAAAATTAAAATAAAATAAAATAAAATAAATGCTTTTACATTCTCTTAGAAATTGGAGAGCAAAAAAAATTTGGAGGTTGCATCCCAAATTAGGCAGACCCAATGAGCTTCCACCTGCCTGGAACCTCTCCTGGCTTGGTCATTCATTCCCAAGACACATAGGGTGAGGTGACCATGACCGGAGGGTAGCTTCACCTAAACTGCCTCATCCAGTCTTCTTCCATCAAGCCATGTCCCTGTTTGGTTTGCTCAGAGCATCCAAGTGAGCATAAAAGAGTCAGAAGAGAAAAATGGCCCACTGGTGAGTGTCAGTTTATAAGTAGAGTCAGGGCCAAAGAGGGCTGCACAACTACCAGGAAAGCTCAGCAAGCTCTCCTGAAGCCAGCAAGGGGAAGGGAGTAAAATCCATGAAGTACCTACTGTGCTTCAGGCAACCTTCTTATCACCATCATCACACAAGGACTGAGAACCAATTATTTCCAAGTATTATCTTTAAAGCAAGGACACTTCACAGCACACTGCCTGGGTTTGAATTCCAGCTCATTAGCTGTGTAACTTTTGTGTAACTCTGA